CTAGGCTGCGTCTACACTGGCATGATTTTCCGGAAATGCTTTTAACGGAAAAGTTTTCCGTTAAAAGCATTTTCGGAAAAGCGCGTCTAGATTGGCAGGACGCTTTTCCGCAAAAGCACTTTTTGTGGAAAAGCGTCCGTGGCCAATCTAGACGCGCTTTTCCACAAAAAATCCCCGATCGCCTTTTTCGCGATTGGGGATTTTTTGCGGAAAACAAATCTCTGCTGTCTACACTGGCCCTTTTGCGCAAAAATTTTTCAAAAAAAGACTTTTGCCTGAACGGGAGCAGCATAGTATTTCTGCAAAAGCTCTGACAATCTTACATGAGATCGGCAGTGCTTTTGCGGAAATTCAAGCAGCCAGTGTAGACAGTTGGCAAGTTTTTCCACAAAAGCAGATGAGTTTGCGGAAAAACTTGCCAGTCTAGACACAGCCCTATTGTATTGCAGTGTCTTTTTAGACTTCTAGCGCCTTTGGTTGGCAGGGGAGGGGCATGGAAACAGACCTTCCTCTGGTGTAATCCGCAGCACTCCACTGACTTCGGTGGAGAGCCATTGATTTCGAGCAGTCGAGGCCAGGGACCACATTTTTTTCTTAGTGCCTTGTGGTGTACAGAGTCCATGGCAAATCTGCATCATTAGAATATTGGTCTTTGCTAACTTTTGACTCCTTTCCCAACCCCTAAACCATTCTTCCCACATGCCAAGGAAAAAATAGAGAGATCGCGAACAGAGAGGGTTGGCGTTGAAGCAACCTGCGGCCTTAACCCTTCCTTTACTCTGTCTTTTTTCCTGTTTTGAGTCTGCAAAGAGACCACAAGCAAACGACTAGCTTACAAATTACAATAGTTCACCAGTGTGTCCCCCCCTCCCGCCCTTAGAATAACTTAGTGCAAAAGATCACACAAGTAAGGTAGTAATACACTGAAATAGTTCAAAATCCTTGAGGCATGGCTCAAAAGGAACAACAGAAGCAAACAAAATAGCATTCAGGCTAAACATGCCTTGCCCCTGAAATAAAATTATCTTTAGAAGTTCACAAAGAAAACATACACAGCAGGGCCTCATGGATTTCCATGAGACATCAAGTACTTATCGGTGATTGAAGAAAAAAGCCGCAAAGCCCAGAACTCAATTAAAGAAATAATTGTTTTAAGTCTTGTGGCTGTGAAATAACTGGCTGTGAAATAAAGCGCACGATACCAGGGAATAAGAACAAAGGGCGTGATGCAACACTCAGCAAAGTCAATAGGAAGTCTCCTATGGAAGCTGGATCAGGTTGGAAAGGGATTTAACTGCCCCGCTTGCCTTGTATGATAGGAAAGCATTGCAAAGCTATGAAATAGCACTTGTGTTTAGGAGCCTGGTAAGGGCTCAGCTTTCACCTGGGCATCGTTTGTCGTCTGCAAAAAGAATAACCAGTTTGTACCTATGAATGCTTTGCACAGCATAACAACAACTCTCAGAAGCAGTAGACGAATGCCATCTACACTGGACATTTTGTTCTAGGTATCAGCTTGTGTGATCGTTTAAAAAGATGAAGAAGTGGGTTGTGCCCACGAAAGCGCACGATACCATCTGTATTTTTTTTGTCTGTGACTGAACAAAATTAAAAAACAAATAGTCTTGTACCACCTTAGAGACGAACCCAGCTACCCTCTGAAACATGTGTGATTTTGACAGCACTAAGATAGTAGCTTTAAAAGAAGGCCAGATTCTGCTTCTGGTTACACTAGTGCAAATCCAGAGTAACTCAGCTGATTTCACTGGATTTACTGCACATTTACTTTGGTAAGAGAGCAGATTTGGGGCCAAATAGGTCTTCTGATGCCACAGGGGATGAAAAAAGAAACTAAAAGGTGTCCAATGAAGGCAGTTTACAAAGTGCTTCCAAAAACTAAAAGTCTGGTCCAGCTGCCAATTAAATTAATGTCCAAACTCCAATTGACTTCAACAGGAAAAGGATCGAGCCGGTTAGGTTAGGCAGCTAAGTCATACTGTATCAGCTGTTGTACTAGCCCGTGTGTGTGAAACATTGCACACTATTTAACAAAAGCATCAATTAAAGGATTAAACCAATAGTTAAACCCTTCCCGTTGGAGATGTCACTATCACTGTACACTAGGCATTTGCATAACCTAGGCAGCACTATTCTGTAAAGATTAACAGTTTCAACAAGCACACAAGGCCTGATAAGAGTGATCTAACTTAGGGGTTGCTAGCTTGCAGAGGGGGTGTGTGTGTGTGTGTGTGTGTGTGTGTGTGTGTGTGTGTGTGTGTGTGTGTGTGTTGAAAGTCTTTTTTTTTTAAAAGAAACACAAAAAGCTTTAGGAGCCTTTAGTTTTATTTCAAAATGGGAGCGAGGATCAGCTCTTCAATGACACTTGAAATCAATGGGAATGAAATGCCTCGCCTGTTTAGGTGCCTAAAAATGCCACTAAGGCACCTAAACCTGCTTAGGCACTTTTGAAAATCCCATTAATTTAATACTTACTTCTTAAGTGCCTAAATGCCTTTGAGAATTTAGCCCCAAGGCGTATAGGAGCCATGGTAGCTTCTCAGAGCTACATTTCAGTTGATTTCAATGGCCCTTGTGAAAACCCCTCTGGGCACCTATCCAAATCTTTAAACTCCTGAAGCGCTTTGAAAATCTGACCCTCAGACCCACCTGAAAAGTGACTTTGCTATAACCTCTCAGAAGTGCCCAAGTCACTTGGTGACCTGACTGCTGTACCTTTGTGGCACACACCTGACATGGGAATTGGAGTAAGGATTTCAGGACCTGACCAAAACACTTCAAAATGGGGGATGAGCTCAGTTAGTACGTGAGGCTACAGCTATAGGATGAGGTAGGGGTATGACTCCCCTGCTCACATACAAGTGGCCCCACAAGCTCTCTGGGAGCTAGTATGGATATAAACAGCAGTGTAGCCTCGCTAGCACAGGTAATGGTAGTGTAAGCATTATGCAGAACTGAACCTGGGACCTCTGAGGCTTAGTGCATAAGCCAGCTGGCTCTCAGCTAAGGCTGTAGAGCAAACTCATTCTCTCTCTCTCTGTAAGCGGTCTGAGTGCCACTCCATGGGACAGTGAGACACACCCCGTAGGTGTGTGGATTACATACACATAGCTGAGCCAGGCTGACTGCCTCCTGCTCCAATAACAAATCCAGATGGAGACTCAAGTTGAGAAGTACATTAAAGAGAATGCACTGAAGGACAGATCCAGCACTCCAATCCTGTTCCTATAGAAGTCAACTCAAGTTTTCATCACGGCTTCAATAAAAGCAAGAGCAGCACAAGAGTGGACTGACATTTTCTGGACTTTGTTTTCTGGGTTGAAAATTGAGCTTTTTTCCAAAAATGATACTTTTTTGGAAACATTTCAATAGCATCAGAATTGTCCATACACTCACTTGAGCTACTGTAATAGAGTTAGCTAGCAAACAAAAAATATTGCAAAAAAAATTGTTTTCCCACTGGGGGCTTGGTAAGTGACAAAAAAAAAAAAGATTTAGAGAACAATTTTGGTGAAGAAAAGTGAAAGTAAATTGGGATAAATGGAAAGTGGATCTGTTTTGAATCCTGCAAAATGGCATGAACATTGAAATTTTGAATTTTCCCCAACAAAATATTTTCCCATTTTTGACCAGTCCCAGTGAGTATATTAATAAACAGATAGTGGGTGCATAACAGAAAGCAGATCCAAACCAATAAAAAAGAAAAATTAGCTGGATTGTTTGCTTCCTACATTTAATGCAGCATGTTCTCATTTTCCAGGATGCTAATTTTTACTTTCCATTATTTTTTCTTTGCAAGAATATAATGGGCTAGTTTATAATTTTGAGTATAACATGCATACAAAATTTGTTAACTCATCTAAGCAGGTTCTTATTAGTTTGAATAACTATGTGTTTATGTCCAATATAGCTGTATGTATAGACAATTGTATCTATCCTTGTGTATGACCCCTACACTCACCGGAGCCTGACTAAATTTTCCTGACACTTTGTTAATCTTACCTCACGTGCCCTGTAGAAAGATGTTTAATAATGGTGATTAAAAAATTCCTTTAATTTACCCATTGAAAGAGTTACCCCGGGTGAGTATAATTTTGCCTCATGGAGTGTGACACTTGAAGTATTTGAGTAATTTCACTGAAATTAATGCAACTGTTCACATGCTTAAAATTCAACATGTACTGAAGTGGTTTGCTAGATTGGGAATTCTACTTGTGTTGTGGGAACCCCAGATGCAGCACTGCGGCTGTATGGCCTCCATGAGGGAATACCCATAGCTACACCCACTTCTCATGCACGTACCTATCCAGAGCTATATATCGGGCCACCAACACTATTCCAAATACAAATATCTAACTAGCTACTGCCACAGTCATGCACTGCTACTCTGCCTTGCAGGTGTTCCTAGCCAAAATTTGCCGGTATCTGATGACTTGCATTAAGAACAGCCATACAGGGTCAGACCAAAGGTCCATCTAGCCCAGTAACTTGTCTTCTGACAGTGGCCACTGCCAGGTGCCCCTGAGGGAATGACAAGAAGAGATAATCATCAAGTGATCCATCTCCTGTCATCCATTCCCAGCTTGTGACAAACAGAGGCTAAGGACACCATTCCTACCTATCCTGGCTAATAGCCAGTAATGAACCTATCCTCCATTAATTTATCCAGCTCTTTTTAAAGCCCTGTTAAAGTCCTGGCTTTCACAACATCCTCTGGCAAGGAGTTCCACAGGTGGACTGTGTGTTGTGTGAAGAAAAACTTCTTTTTGTTTGTTTTAAATCTGCTACACCTATTCATTTCATGTGGTGACCTCTAACTCTTGTGTTATGGGAACAGGTAAATAACTTTTCCTTATTTACTTTCTCCACACCAGGCATGATTTTATCGACCTCTGTCACATCTCCCCTTAGTCATCTCTTTTCCAAGCTGAGAAGTCCCAGTCTTTTTAATCTCGTCTCGTATGGCAGCTGTTCCTTACCCCTAATCATTTTTGTCACCCTTTTTTGACCTTTTTCCAATGCCAAGGTATCTTTTTTGAGATGTGGTGAGCAGTATTCAAGACGTGGGCGTCCCATGGATTTACACAGAGACAGTAAGAGAGAGCATAAGGCAGAGACTCTCTCTTTGTTAATGATTCCCAACTTTCTGCTTGCTTTTTTGCCTGCCGCTGCCTCACAGTCCCCAGCAGCGGCAGGAGAAGGGGAGAAAGTTGGCCCCACTGCTTTGCTCTCCCGGCTGCACTGCTCCGGTGGTGGGGGCTGCACTGCAGATGGAGCAAAGCCGCGGGCCCGCCTTGCTCTACTTCCGCTGCTGGTGAGTGCGGCGGGAGGCGGGCAGACCTCTGCTGTCAGTGCTGGCCCCACTAGCCCCAGGACCGCCTTGATTGGAGGAGGATATGGGGCAGAGGTGGAGCAAGGGCAGAGAAGAGGTGGGAGAGGGTGGAGAAAGGAGGCGGAGCAGGGTTGGGGAGAGGCGGGGCCTGAGTGGAGAGGAATTGGGTAGGCTGCGCGGGTAGGGTCATGTGACCAGTTGCCTTTGAGCAAGGGAATTAATAGCACCTTGTTAGTGAGAGCATTTCAAATGGGATAACCATGCTGAAAATAATGAAGAGAAAGTTGCAAAGAGGGAAATGACTATTTGTTCCTACGTAGGTTTGTTTCCCTGCCCTCCCATTGTAATATGAAAAGCAGAACAGCTTTCTCTAGGGAAGAAACTATTTCCTGAGGCTCTCATTAGATGCATTCCGTGCTGTACCTTTCCCTATCTTCCTGCTAATGAGTCCATCGTTAGGAGTCCTGGCATGCCAAGGCAGGCTCACATCACCAAATGCCTCTCAAACAGGAGACGCGTTAGCTTCTGGCTGGCAGCCAGGAGCTGTTTCTACAAACAGGAAGCTCCATCGCTTCATTCATTTTTAAGAGCAATTTAATAACATTCTTGGGGTTTTTTTATATGAATGAGCAGATTTTGGATCTCGTGTTTACGGTGGGACTGGTTTGTCGTCTTCTTTTGTTTGTTTTTAATTTGCCACAGTCACTTAAGGATTTGACCTCAGCACCTGATCCTTCTCTACATGATGTTAGTATACATATGCTGCACGGCTAATGTTTCAGACAAATCATCATAGAAATGTACAGAGCACCTAAGTCCCACAAACCTCTTAAAACCCTTTCAGATTTAAGGTACTATGTTCCATGCTTCATCTAGAATTACTCTACAGTATCTTGGTTCTAAATAGCCAGACTTACTAGACGGAGGTACACAAGTTGCGCTGGAACAAATTTTGTCCAATGCTGTTTTCCTGTATTTTAAAAAAAATATTTGCAAGCCTAAAAGTTACAGTAAAAGGATTGCAGGATGGGGGAAGATGCTCAAGGAGAGAGAAAATAATAATTGTAACTTCTTGCCAGATTCCCAGCAGGTGAAAACTCATGTAACTCCATTTTTATGGCAAATTATGTCAACCGAGGATTAGCTGATTCTTTATGTTTGGTGTAAATGCATTTTATAATAAACCAGGCGTTTTGGTCTCATTCTTCCCTGCTACTCTGTCTCACAAGCTGTGATGCTACTTATTTAGATACAGTATTTCACCTCTAGTTTATATAGAGCAGATACAGAGCAGTGAGCTAAAAGACTCCAGAAAACAATAGAAGACTTGAGAAATCCTGGAACTTAATAGGCAACCATGCAAGTTGGTGAATTTATTCTGTCCAGGGTAGAAGAGCAGGTCAGTTGAGATGCCAATGTAAATGTGGCAGGTTTTGGTGAAGGGAATGAGGCATTGTACTGGTGGCCAGCCTCAACGGTGCAGGGCCGTCTCCTTCCGAAAGATTAAAAGCTTGCAAATGGATGGGTACGAAAAGAAAAACAGGCCGGGGATTGGGAGGAGAGTAAGAAGGAATCCCACAGTCCATCAGATGAAATACTCCCGTTTGCACTCACTCACTGTGTTCTGTAAGTCAATGTCCGTTTTAAAGGAACTGTCAAGGCGGTCGGGGTAGTCCTTCTCCTTCGTCTGGCTGCTTCGGTGCGTCTGTTTGTGCTGGTAGAGGAATCTGCTCATGATGGCCACAATGCAGAGGATGATGAATATTACGACAGCTATGACCCCTGGGAAAAAGGAAGCGAAAGTAAGAACAGGAAGTGAAAAGAGAGACACAGATTTTGCCAGGGGAGGTCTGGGCTCAGACCTCTAGCTGTGCCTCCCAGGGTACATCTACCAGTGGTACTGGAGTAGTCATTGGAGTGGGGTGCTGAGCTGCTCCCCAGTTATCAGCCCCTAGAGCTGGGGCTGACAACGGGGACCCCACATGCAGAGCCAGCAGCTGGGACCCTGGGGCTGGTGATGGAATCCCCAGGTACAGAACCAGCAGCCAGGCAGGATCTGTGGCTGAGCAGGGCCTGGGGCCAGCAGCTGGGACTCTCCACATGGGGCCGGCTGCTGCGTTCCTGGGGCTGGTAGCAAAGCCCCGATAGCTGGCAGTGAAACAGGACCCCAGCTAGCAGTGGAGCATCTAGGCAGGGCCTAGCAATTGGGACCTCAGGTGTTTGATCCGGGGAATGAGGCCAGCCGCTGGGATCCTGAGCACCAGGGGTGGGGTACCAGGCGCAAAACCTGGGGGTGCTGTAGCACCCACCGCACCACTACTTCCCATGCTTACACAACAAAGAACAACTCACTGCTGGTCCTTGCCAGTCAGCTGGGGCTTTCTACCCGGCACGAGGGAGGATCCAGCTCCCTTGCTCGGATTCCTCAAAGTGCTCAACATTGGCCTAATTCTGCTGGCCTCAAGCTCATTGGCACCCATGGGGGCAAGGGAGGCCAGTGCTGAATGCCTTTGAAAATTCTCTTCCCTCCTGCCTTCACATCTTCCCTTTCTGCCAAACTTTCTTCGCCAGGAGCGCTCTCCTCAATTGAACTTGGGTAAACCTTGTGGGAACGTGGCCCACAGAGTCTAGGTATTACTCAAAGCAGCCCACCTGAAAGCAACACACAGCTGGGATAAAGGGGATTGTTCAGGGAATATGGACAACCATCCGTGATGGTGCGGGCACCACTTTTGAATTAACAGTTGCCTTGGCTTATGGGATTTTCCCTGGGACCCGAGGAATCCCATTGCACATACCGCACTGAGCTTAGAGAATTCCAAGGACAGATTAGACTGGAACACTTCATTACATGAGCCTGTAGAAGTGTGGTCTTTGCACATAGCATTCACAGCTAAGCCATGTATCAGACAGATGCAGTCCATGTGCTGAAAAACTTAAGTCTTCTAAAAATGCACAAGAGCATCTGTTTTCCTATGTGTTTAGGGAGCATGTAAGACAGTGTTTCTTAAACTTTTTAAGGCCAAGGAACACCAAACAATATTTTTTTTTTATGAGGAACAGCAAGGATTTTTTTGTTGAGCAAGAAAAAAAAAGGTCCCCTGCCCCTTTAAGGGTGGCCATTTTGAATTCTGTTGTTTTCCTGAGCACACCAGTGTGCCGCGGAATACAGTTTAAGAAACACTGATGTAGGATTATAGGTCATGACTAGGAGATTGGGATGCTGCCATAACATTATTAACATTAATAATAAATGCAGCATTTCCAGCCTCATAATGCCCTGTGCTAGAGGAGAGCAGAAGATGAGGAAAGGGACCTATGGAGCGCAAATATCCTATGAATTTGTTTTCTGGGGGAATAAAAATATTTTCGGATTGCATCATTCAAAAGAAAAAGAAGAAAAATATTACCTCCGATGACGGCTGAATCACTTCTGATTGCATTGGTGAGGGGTTCCCGCTCATCCGTCTTCCCAAAGGGATCTGCAGTTGATTAAATACAGAATAGCTGTTGTCTACTGGCAACATGCGGACCTTGCTTCAGCACTTGGAATGATGTTATCTACCCATGTCTGCTATCAAAATATGTGGTTTGGGGATTAGAGAATTTGATCAAAGAGGAGCCCTCTTCAAAACACAGGACTCAGGTGCCATCAGAGACAAAGCCATGAAACCACAAATGCACGAGGAGACAAAATGGGTAAAAACCAGTACCCTATCATCCTACCACAATGCCTCTGTTGACAACGGTAGGGACAATGGTACAATTCCAAGACTAAACAAAGGCAGAAGCATCTGGAAAGTGAGAAAACTAATAAAAGGTGTAGAGATTGGTTCTCTCCATCAGACTGAACCCAGTGTCAGAGAGGCAGAGGGGTGGCCTGTTGGAAAGGATCCCCCTCTCCAAGGCAGAAAAATGGTAGAACCCCAAGGCCACTGTTCCAAGTGGGATGCATTGCAAATTGGACATGTTCTGATCTTCCCCTCTCAGCTGCTACAGATCCTTCACGTTTCAATTTCCATTCCCCCATTTCTGCTCTGAGTCTGCTCTGATTATCGTACGTAGGGTGTGCCCGATTATTTCTGTGGCCCTGCAAGCTTCGCTTCTCACTGAGGACACCGGATATAGGAGTTTGGTTCTAACCTATAACGCTTGGGAACCCTTTAGAACAGGGGTCTCCAAACTTTTCAGCCCGAGGGCCGCATTAACTATCAAACAGCAGTTCGGGGGCCGACTACACACTTGAGGTCCAAATAAAAAACAATCAAAACATGGATGTTGTTTTTAATTATTTATTTAATATTATTTTATTCAGTTATTATTTAATAACACATTGATACACTACACATGAACACCTGTATTAGTGTGAATGGTGAAATTGTTTCCTGGATGCCAAAATAGCAGACATTTCTGGCTTTAGAAATCACTGTTTGAAATTGGGGGTGGTGCTTGTCCTAGTCCTGCAGGAGGGGCTCCAGAACGGGGAAACTGCTGAGAACTCATTTCCACCTGCGCAATGTGATGAAAATTGTAAGCAACATAATCCTGGCAATATGTTCAGCCTAAGACACTCACACTTGAAGAGATGTGATCGCTCTCCTATCATGCAGGGAATGAGGTGACAATTTGTAACATAGCCCCATGGAACAAGGGGCATGCATTTTAATGGGAAAAGCTGGTTTGAAAGCAGACACGTTATCACTTGGTAAAGGAAGTTGGAAAGCAGTGCCCAACGCTCCCACAGACTGATACCCGGCAGGGCGGTGCTGCTCTGGGTTGTGGATGAGAGAGACCAGACGTGGAAGGGAGAGGGATGTTTCTTCAGGGCGCACTGCAGGGACCAGGGCAGCGCGCTAGGCACGGCACAGCGTCACCCAGAGGCTGTGCCACAGCAACCAGACCGCCTCCTGCAATGGGCACCAGCTCCTCAGCCCCGCCCCCGGAGAAGTAGCCCCTCGCTCCTAGCCCCTGAGAAACCACCGTCGGGTTTCCTCCCCTCCGTCCAGCCTCCCGCGATCCTCTGCCGCCGGGTCTGATCCGGAGCCCGCCTTCGAGACCCCCCTTTTTCGCCCGCCCGGCCAAGCGGCACGCGGAGCCGTCCCTGACCTGGGCTACCTGCTGTCCCGTGCGCGCGCTGGGGCCTCCCCCGCGGCAAGAAGGGCCCGTTCGGCGGCGCCCCAGGGACGGGCGGGGGTCGCCTCGTCACACCGGCACGCGGTAGAAGGCGGGGCCAGACAAAAAGGTCTTCACGGGCCGGATGAGAGGGCCTCGCGGGCTGCATCCGGCCCGCGGGCCGTAGTTTGGAGACCCCTGCTCTAGAAGCTTCAAACACTCTGCAGGGTTCACAAAGCCTTTGCCATAGTTCAGCCCAACCAAAATGGGAATTAAATACCTTGCGCTTTGGTAGCTTCAAATCGAGATTATGGGTCAAGCTCTGAATGGAACAATAGTAAATTACACTCTCCCTGCCTGTCCCAGATCATGGAATCAGAATCATAAGGCTGGAAGAGACCTCAGGAGGTCATCAAGTCCAACCCCCCTGCTCAAAGTAGGACCAATCCCAACTAAATCATCCCAGCCAGGGCTCTGTCATAAAAACCTCTAGGGATGGATATTCCTCCACCTCCCTAGGGAACCCATCCCAGTGCTTCCCCATCCTCCTAGGGAGATAGTTTTTCCTAATCACCAACCTAGACCTTCCCTACTGCAATTTGAGACCATTGCTCCTCATTCTACCATCTGCCACCACTGAGAACAGCCTCTCTGCATCCTCTTAAGAACCCCCCTTCAGGAAGTTGAAGGCTGCTGTCCAATTCCCCTTCACTCTTCTCTTTTGCAGACTAAATAAGCCCATATCCCTCAGCCTCTCCTTGTAGGTCATGTGCTCCAGCAAATCATTATTGCCGCCCTCTTCTGGACTTTCGCCAAAGCATCCATCTCCTTTCTGTAATGGGGAATCCAGACCTGGATGCACTACTCCAGATATGGTCTCTATCTATCTCCAGCTCTGCGTCTGAACCATGCAGCAAGTCTGTATCATCACAGGAAGGCTTTCATCTCAGCTCAGCCATTCCTCTCTTTGGTTTCTGTCTGTGGTAGCACAAAACTGCTGTTCTCCCTTTTATACGCCTCCGGGTTATAACACACAGGCCTGTTTGGGGCGCTGGAACTGACAGGCTCAGAAACAACTTTTATGTCATTGGCAGGCTATTCTTTTCAATGGTGAGAGTGGAAGCCTTTGGAAGAGATGCAAAATGCTACGATGATATTATTATTGAACATTTTTGCTTTTCTGCTGACTCAGCAGCCTCTTAGCACCTCCTTGTTAAGTGGGATGTTTTCCTTCAGAGAAACAAGCATATTTTTGGGTTGGCCTGGGCTGAATTTTTATCTTTGTAAATACAAAGTGTGCAAAGCAAAGTGCTTGATTCTTCTTTGCTCATAGTTTGGGTAGAAATTTACATTCATGCAAAGTGAGTGATAAGGGATACCATGTATACCAACTTTCACTGATGTAAATGGCTACAGAAAGTACAGGCCATAGAGAATCTGGCCCGGTAGGTTTTGAGGCTGAAGAAGTACATTTCCTGGAACTGGAAGGGACCATTTTTCCTACTGTCCAACCTAAACCTCCCTTGCTGCAATTTAAGCCCATTGCTTCTTGTCCTAAAAAGGAAGAGCTGAGCCAGAGCTTGTATTGGCTGGGAATGCAGTCATAGAAGTGGCTTTGACCTCCATGGTACTGCTGACATAAATAAAGTTTCACCAGGGAAAATCGTACGCTCCCCAGGTGGGATCCATAGCAGTTTTTTGGCAAGTGGTCTTTTTCCACTGCTTGGAGATTGGGCACCTTTGTGAAGAAATGCTCAGGTACAAGCAAACCTTTTGACATGCCAACTCGTTTCACCTCAGAAAAGCTTAGCAGGTATAAACTGACTAGTTTCCACCCCTGAGGACCTGCTCCTATGGCTTGGACAGAAACTTCTGACTAGTGTCAGATGTTACTTGCTGAGATTGCATGAAGAACCACAAAGCACAGACAAGACTTTTGAGCCACATGTCCGTTGTGTAAAATGTTGGCCATAAATACTATTAAAGGGTCTACTCCTTGACCGAAAATTACCTGAAGCACAAGCACTTTTAAAAAATCCAAAGTAAGTGCTGGTGACTGAAGGGTAACTCCTCCTATAATTTAATCAGAATGCAGGTCGACAGACCTCGAAGCTTCTGTGAATTATGTTTCACCCAAGAAATATAGTCAGAATACGGGGCAACAAGGTGTTTGTTGCAAAGAAGCAGATGGTAAGTGACAGCAGAACTTTCCCCTAGGAGATCATGGTAAATCCTGCAGCCAAGAAGGAAAAAAAGCACTGTCTTCTATGTGATTTGAATAGGACATTCGTTCCTTTTAGCTACGACCCTTGTGATGATGGCATGAAGACAACTGGTCCCAAAGGACACCTCAGCAAAAGGAAAACATAAAAATGTCACATGACTTCCACAGGTTAAACCTCTCTAGTCCAGCACCCTCAGGACCTGACAGGTGCTGAACCAGAGAATGTGCCGAACCATGGGAGGTCAAGCAGCATCACCAACACTTTCACTGCTTACTGAGCTCTGAGAAGACATTTAGGGGCAAATCAGAGCTAAATCACAGCACAGAACACTGAGAGCCAGGCCTGGTGGCTGCAAACAAACTTTCCGGGACCACGGGAAACTTGTTCACACCCATGATAAATGGACATCTGGCTAGCTAAAAATCACCCCAGACCATGGATGTTGCTGGACTAGAGAGTGCCGGACCAGAGAAGTTCAACATAGGCAAGCAAAATGTTTTGGTCCAATATCTGTTTTATGAAAGTATTTGGGATATAGAATTTAAATATACAAGGTCCCGATCTTCCACTGGCAGCTGAGTAATGACTACTAATAAATATTTTCTGAATGCTTTTTTAATACACAGTAAAAGCACCAATATCTGGCTCCTAGTTAACCAGAAAGCTCAATTAACCAGCATTTCTGATATCTTCCAATGCAAATCTTCAATGGAGTAACGGGGACACGCAACAGGTTACCTCGCATTCTATTTGTAGGCAAAAGAGGCAGAAGACAAACAAGCAAGCTGATTTGGGGGAGTTCCTCAAAAAAGCAGCTTCCAGGGTCAGTCACAGGGTCATTGCACATTCAACCCAATCTCTTACACCTACATCTATAAGGATAATTGATGTTGACAGTGATGGCCCTGTGACACTGCAAGATCCCAAAGTGCCTTCAGAATCTAAGGAAGATTAAGTTATGTTCAGGACAGTTTGGGTACGTCTACACTACATGCCTCTGTCGGCAGAGGCATGTAGATTTGTTTGTTCGACAAAGGTAAATGAAGCTGCGATTTAAATGATCGCGGCTTCATTTACATTTACATGGCTGCCGCGCTGAGCCGACAAACAGCTGATCAGCTGTTTGTCGGCTCAGCGCGGCAGCCATGTAAATGTAAATGAAGCCGCGATCATTTAAATCGCAGCTTCATTTACCTTTGTCGAACAAACAAATCTACATGCCTCTGCCGACAGAGGCATGTAGTGTAGACGTACCCAAACTGTCCTGAACATAACTTAATCTTCCTTAGATTCTGAAGGCACTTTGGGATCTTGCAGTGTCACAGGGCCATCACTGTCAACATCAATTATCCTTATAGATGTAGGTGTAAGAGATTGGGTTGAATGTGCAATGACCCTGTGACTGACCCTGGAAGCTGCTTTTTTGAGGAACTCCCCCAAATCAGCTTGTCTTCACTATATTTTTAGTGATCTGGATATACGCCATACGCTGCCCATAGTGCTATCTGGTGTCATAAGATAACCTACTGTATAGGAAACTCTATGGCTACGGCCACACTGCCAGTTTTGCTAGCAGTGAGTATGCAAATGAAGCACAGATTAGCATATTGCCATGCTTCATTTACATAATTTATTCAAGGCATATTTGCTGAAAATAAAGTACTGTGAATGTTTTCTTTTTGTGCAAAAAACCCTTTTCCTGACAGATCCTTATGCTCCAAAAAAGGAGGTTTACCGATCTGGCGGGAAAAGGGGTTTTTGCACAAAAAGAAAACGCCCAAATTATTTTTTATTCTGCAAAAACCGTTTGCACAAAAATACGGTGCATAAATTATGCAAATGAGGTGCAGCGATAGGCTAATCCACACCTCATTTGCATACTAACTGCCAGCAAAACCAGCCGTGTAGACGTAGCCTACATGTACAGGCAGTCCCCGGGTTACGTACAAGATAGGGACTGTAGGTTTGTTCTTAAGTTGAATTTGTATGTAAGTCGGAACTGGTACGTATTGAAGGGGAAACTCTAGCCAAACATTTCTCCAGAGCTCAGTTTTATTCTCTCACACCTCACTTCCCTCAGTCCTTTATTCTCAAACTGAGGTGTCTGCTGAGAAAAGCTGCTCCGCGTCTCCCTAGTCTGCTGGGGGAGCGCTAGCTTCGCATCTCCCTGGTCTGCTGGGGGGAAGCAGCTAGTGCGGGGTTGCCTCATCCCGTTTGTAAGTAGGGATCTGATGTAAGTCGGATCCATGTAACCCGGGGACTGCCTGTATACACCTAAGTGCTTCAAGGAATCCACCACTCTGCAGTGCATTATTACTACTGGGTTGGTAAGTTTCTCTACACTATTTTATACTCTTTTTTTATTATACTCTATTCTACTTCATTGGAAATTGGTATTCCTTTGGTAAAGTATAATATTGCTGGAATATTCACTGATACAGCATCCCCCATTCTCCCATTATGCTAAATATCAGAGCTTTGACTATAGTAGGATATTTGCAATATTTTAATATACTATAAACATCCTGGCAAAGTATCAGGGTGCCATCAATGTGCAGTCAGAGTGGCAATTAGCAAATGTGCTACCACATAAGAGACACTGATTTATGGAGTATTACAAACTATTATCATCATCACGGGAAGTTACTTCTCCCCTCAGATTTCCCCAATAAGAAATTATGCACATGCATAAATCAGCCATGGCTGAGTGGAATTTGTTCAAAAGTAGTGTGCTAAGAAACCTTCCTGAAGATCTAACAAACATCCCACATTTGAAGGAAAGTGCTTTGATATTTCTCAACACTGAAAGCTTTTTTTTAAAAATTTTTTTTTTTTTTTTAAACACACACATTCACAGCAGGAGACCTGGACAGGTATCTTTGCTCTATCAAAGGCTTAGAAAACTGACACACACATGTTCAGCAGCCTGAAATTTGTTTTTTGTTCTCATATATGCAGAGATAAGACATCATGAATTGATCAGCTGAGACATGCATAATAAAACTGGGGATTAATCCTTGACTCTGCCCTCCTGTGATTATTTCTTAAAATATTGTCTCCCTCTTCCAGCCTGTGTGTGTGTTGTACGTGTGTGTTTATCAATTACCAGGAAAAAGTGTGACCGTATTTTAAAGCAAAAAATAAGCAGGAATAATATTGAGCTTTCTACAGGACTCTGCTTAGCGATATCTGAGTGCTCACCTTAACATTGCTTTACATCAAGTTAATTGCAAGATTTAAATATGAAAGTCGAAATCCTTCCTTGTTTTGTCAGACATTAGAGTTCTGACTCACTCTTTGAGACTTAGATTTTATCCTAAAACATCCCCTTTTTGACATTAAAGGTTGGCCTGGGATAAATGACAGCAAAATTAAAGCCCCAGAGGATGGACAGCTGTGTGTAAATGTGCATGTGCGTGCATGCACATCAGGGGTGGCCCGTGACTATAGGCTGACTTGGCCATCACCAGGACACCACCTTCAACGGGGCATGATGATGATGTCACCCCATTGATGGCCGTGCAGGTGGGGATGCCGATCGTGCGTTCTGCCTGGGGCGCCAGGTGCTGCAGCCCACCTCACACCGCTCCTGACACACACACACACACACAGAAATCCTAAACCAATAATCATTAACAAGCCATGTTTCTTCATTTAAAAAACAAAGCACAGATGAATTGGAATCCATCCCTTACAGGGAGAGCAAGCATAATGCTTTCTCTCTACAAAAAATGCTTATACAGATTGAACCTCTCTAGTCTGACATGATTTGAGTTAGCTGGGTGTCCACTTATCATAGGTGTGGCCAACGTTCCTGCAGTCCCATAGAGTTTGTTGACAGTCACCAGTCTTGGCTCTCAGGCTGTGTCAAGACTGCATTCTTTTTCCATAAAAGGGATGCAAATTAGACACATCGCAATTGCAAATGAAGCAGGGATTTAAATCCCCCCCGCTTCATTTGCATAAACATGGCTGCCTCTTAAAATAAGGAATAAGGGATCTTTTGGAAAAGGCTTTATTTTCCGAAAGATCCGCGTCTAGACTGGCGCTTTTTCTGGCAAAGCTCCGAGCCAGAAAAAAGCAGCAGCCATGTTTATGCAAATGAAGCGGGGGGGATTTAAATCCCTGCTTCATTTGCAATTGCGATGTGTCTAATTTGCATCCCTTTTATGGAAAAAGAATGCAGTCTTGACACAGCCTGAGAGCCAAGCAATTTACCCCTAAATGTCTAAGGGTGTGTCTACACAGCAAAGTTATTTCAGAATAACGGCTGTTATTCCAAAATAACTATGCAAGCATCTACACAGCCATTCCATTATTTTAAAATAATTTTGAAATAGCAGACGGCTTATTCCAACTTCTGTAAGCCTCCTTCTACAAGGAATAGCGCCTATTCCGAAACAGCTATTTTGAAATCAGACGTGTGTGGACACTCCACTGCTGTTATTTCAAAATAGCCCCTCACCAGGGCCATTCTAAGTTATTCCTTCTAGGGCTCTAAATCGAGGTAGCACGTCCACACCGGGAAAGCCTGCCTCGGACTAGTTTTGAGGCTTCCCTGCAGTGTAAATGTGCTATTTCGAAATAAGCTATTTCAGAGTAACTATTCTGGAATAGCTTATTCCGAAATAACTGTGTAGTGTAGACGTCACCTAAGAGTCTAGTAGGCAGTGGAAGTGTTGGTCATGCTGCTAGACAATACTGACCTCCTGTGGTTCGGCAAATTCTCTGGTCGAAAGGGACTGGGGCAAGCCAAATGTCAAGGAAATGGCTTTGTAGAAAACATTGGAAGCTTTATTAGTTAGCCAACAGAGAAGATTAAGTGAATTCATAGTGCAGGGGATTAAAAAAAAATCCCACAACCCTTGCATTGTATTTTTCCTTTCTGGTTATTAAGATCTCTGCCACATCTGCCAGCAACAACAGCAACTTATGTCCCTCTGCCTGCGGTAACCAGCTGCTCTTTGGGTTCTCCCCTCCTCCCTCCCCAACCCTGGCAGGCTGCTCTACGTATGCAAACCACTTAACGGTCCCAGGGGGCGAGTTCATGATTGCGGAGGAAAATGAACTGCTTCGGCTCATCAGCGGGCACCATTCCTGTTGTGCCTTTGCTTAACGCAGAGCAAACAGTGCAGGGATTCACCGAAGGACACACCCGTGCGTGTCCACTGGCCAGAGGACAATGACAGTTACTCTGGTGGGATTCCTCAGGCTTCATGGCCTTTGCTGCTCACTCTCTGGCAGCGGCGGAGGCAGACTGGGACACCGGGGAGGGCTCAGATGGGAGGGCGGGGGCAGGGGCCATCTGGACCAATACTGCAGACCCACAGAGGGTGATAGATGCTCTGGCCAGGGCCCCTGGTAAAACAGAGGGGTGAAGAAAATGGCACCTCTCCTGTGCTGCCCCCACTGCAGCCAGGGAGTGGGGTTGGGGTAATGGGGCTTCCCCAGCTCCAGCGGGGGCGGGGGGGGCCGGCCATGGGGACTTGTCCTACCCTGCCAGCCCAGGGATCCCAACAGGCTCAGGCTCGGGGTGGAGGGTGGAGGGTGGAGGGGAGAGGGGCTTGCAAGCCCCCATGCTCCAATGGCATTCCCAGGCAAGGGCTGAGTTAGGAACAAAGCTGAGGACGGGCCTGGAGGAGAAACGAGCGGGCCACCGCCCAAGCAGGCCTACCCGTGGCGACACCGTTGTTATGTGGCGTACAGGACAGTTGTGTTCTATGCGACACCCGACCAGGGTTTTGTTTTCCTTTGAAATTTCCAGCACTGGAGTCGTGATACCAGACTTCACAGACTGCCTGCAAGCTCCTGAGGTCGTTTGGATCCGGCCTTTGCAGCTCACACTTTACTCTCCTATCATGACACGTTCCTGTGGGCATTTTTCAGGCAACACAGGATCCTAATCAGTTGTTTAGGTTCAAGCCCTAATTATTGCCTTTCAGTGGATGTGTAATAGGCATTACCCGTACATCCCTATCACTTGGGGGTTGATGGCTTTCCAGTCATCTTGCTTCCAGTATCACGGTTTCCATGACAGCAGGAAGGGAGGGAGCAAACCCCATGCTGGTCTCTGAAACAAAGACAGGACCTACCTGATGAAGAATATACTGAGGTGACAGTGTTCACATCAGCCTCGGCTATGTATCCACAACTCGATTCGGCCAAGGAGCCTTTGACAGTGACGGGTGCAATGCTGGGATGGCGCAAGGCGGCCTTCAGCGGAGCTATGTGATTATACTGGACAGAGGACAGGCATCCGATAAAGCCATTTGAGCTCGCCTTCAGGACTTCAGAATCTAGCCCCAGACTATCTGCAACACACAAGACAATCAGAAAGGAGTTTTAAATGTTCCCTTTTGCATGTTGATTACAAAATCCCAACTCTTTGCCAGCTTACGTGGCTTTATCCACCTATTCATCACGTTCTCCCCCAATCACCTCCAACTTCCAATATGTAGGACATCATATCAACAATTAAAGACACACATCTACCATGCTACTTAGAGTGAATGGAGTTGGTGTATAAATAAATAGCCTGTTGTTCTCCTTCCCCTCACCAGATTCTTGTTGAATAGTGATAGAGATGCAGCCATGTTAGTCTGGTGTAGCTGAAACAAACCCACATATTGATCTGAGGAAGTGGGTCTGGCCCACAAAAGCTCATCACCTAATAAACCATCTTGTTAGTCTTTAAGGTGCTACATAGTTCTGTCTTTTGTTTCAGATTCTTGTTGTTTGTCTGGAAAGCACCTGTGCGCTACTATAAATCATAGCCTATCAGGGACTGCCAGTAACATACTAAACACAACGACTGACTTTAGACCCTGGTGTTACAGCCCACAGGAGATTACAGTATCACGTGTGATGACTGGAGAATAGGAGGGACCAAGATGCACCAGTGCTCAACGCCCCTTCAATGTCAGAAAATTAATTAGGTGAGGAATGGCCAGATGAGTGTGGCAACTATATGCTGCTGAGGAAGGAAAAAAAGAAGAAAAGAGAAACCTCGACTTCATGGTCCAACTGACCTGGGTGAAAATTCCTCCCTAACCCCACCTCTGACAATTTATTATAGTAACACTGATTATGTTTAAGCCTGAGGTAAGAGTAATTGGTCAGCAAGTTCAAGCTCACAGAATCGGAGCGGTCAGAGATGAACATGTCAGAGTAGATCATCTACTCTATCTGTTGCTGACGTGACAGTGCTGCTCAGTGATTAGGTACGTCATATAGTTTAACGTTCAATGGCTCACGTAAATGGACTTTCCAGTTGACCTTTGGAGAGTCTTCCACAGTCTGCTAGACCTATAGATTTACTTATTTCTATGGCCCTGTGCGGAGGAGTCTTCCTTGGCTTGACGTACGTCTGGCTAAGAAGTCCAGGCCCTGATAAAGTCTGGTGCTGGGAAGCGCACAGGTGGGCCTCAGGATAAAACATGTGGAAATGTAACTCCTTGCCCTCGATTATCGGGTAAGACCTGATCGTAAATCGTTAACAAAATGCGGAAATGGATAAGCGTGATCATGAATAGCAAGCAGGCTCAGATTTCCAGAATTATTTCGCTACGGCTTGCAGGAATAGGAGGTGACGTGATGGGCAAACCTTGTATTTCTCAAAAGTGGCTAGCCGCAAAAGAGGTACACAACTTAAGATAATGGCGTCAATTAGGGTCCGAATAAATGAACTAAAGTAAAGGGGGCCAGCTCATGAGGGACTGATAGAATAGGGAAGTACGTAGGGCTAGGACAATATGTGACAATGAGGGGTATAAGCAACCAAGTCTCGCTTTGCTATACAATGAGCTTTTGCAAATATCTGTTTGGGAGGTAGGAAGCAGGGTAGACCTACAGACCCTGCTCATTAGAACTAGAAGAAACAACCTTTTCATCCGGCCACGCAGCGCAATACGTCTTGATGCGTGGGAATCAAAGAGACCGCGAACCTTCTGTCTGGAGCACTGTTAGGGGCAATGAGTGAATGGTAAGTGAACTAAGTTTAATGTTGTAAGAACTAGCTTGTAATAGGAATTAGGGTAAGAGAGTGTATTATATCTTGTGCTCTATTCATAGTTATTGCATTGATCTGTACTATAATAATGCTTATAGTGCTTGAAAAATATATGGGGGATTGTGTTAACTATTTAATGCTTGCTAATTATTGCCTTGCTTATGTCCATTGTATTGGCTGTAGGATTTGCAAAACTTTTTTGGATTGCTGTAATTGCTTAGGCTTCATAACAAATAAGGAAGTGGTTCAGTTTCTCTCTCTCTCTGGAGCATTCTGATTTCCCTCGGATCTAAAAATACACTGAACCACATGACACCCTGTCACCATGGTATGAAACTTAGGCCATGTCTATATTTACTATGCTGGAGAGCGATCTTTTGGTGTGTGATTCAGCTGGTCTAGTAAGGACTCTCTAAATCAAACACTGAGGGTGCGCCCTGTTGATGCCGGCACTCCTCGATTTATGAGGAGTTAGGCAAATTGATGGGAGCATTTGCTGCCTTTAGCCACCCAGTGTGGAGATGGTGCCATGTTTAACTCAAGCTATGTCAACTCCAGCTATGGTACTTACATTTATTTATTTAATTTATTGATTGATTTAATTTATTATTTGCCAACCTTCTGGGTGTAGCATATATCTGGCCTTAAGTATCTACAAACAGAGACATCAATTGCAATCTTTTCCTCTGTCTGCAGGAGAAATAGCTTAATTTTTGTATGTGGAATGGGGTGGTCGGGTACATGTACCTTTAAGCCCTACTAGGGGAAATAAACTCCAAAGGCATGTTTTACATTTAGTTTTGAATGCAGCAACACCTGATGCTTGTGAAATAAACTTTCTAGGAATTGAAATTCACACTGCTAAGAGCTCTGTGTCTTGCTATGTACATCTTGTGCCAATATAAAGAGAAAACAAAATAAAAAAGCCTAACTGAATGTGAGATCAGTGATCATTCAAGGTGTGAAAGCTTTTCTAGGGGTAATGTTAAAAACATGTTGTTTACAGAATTGCAAAACGGAGGTGCCTAGCTGCCTTTTTTGTTTATAGCTCTTCATGTGGTAGGAAAATGTCCCTTAGAAAAAAAGGTCATTCTGATTATCCATCATACATATTTTCCCCTGTCCACATAAAATAATTTTTTAGCTCGTCCAAAAAACTGCCAGAATTAGAGGTTGGTTCTCTGCCCTCACGCAGGCGCACACAACAGTTTACTGTTCAGATTTCAACATCTTCTGGATTATATAGGGCTTGATCCAAAACTCAGTGAAGTTTATGGGAGCTGTATGAGGCCCACAAAGCTTTGGTTATAAGCTTTGAGGGGAAAAAACCCATATCCACCACCCTATATACCAATGATAACAATATGGCATGCACATTGACTTGACATTAAAATATGAGATGACATCTCAGCGCCTGTCAAAGTTTGTACCAGTAAGGACTTTCAAAGACTACTGCTGAAACTGGTGAATAGAAAATTGGTGATCCCTCTCACGTACCCTGGTATTTTATTCTCTGGAAGGAGGGTTGCAGGGCCGTCCTTAGGCATACGCAGAGTACGCAGCTGCGTAGGGCACCAGAATTTCTGGGGCACCGCTCTGCCAGCCGGCCGGGAAGCAATGAGCAGGCAACAGCAGGGTCCTAGAGAGAGCTCAATGCGCTGCCTGCAGGCGGCAGCACAGTCTGAGGGAGGGGATTGGCTGCTGTGGTCTGTTGGGAGGGGAGGTGAGGGGTGGGGGACAGAACTCACCTGTGTGGCAGTCTCTTAAGGTGAGGCAGGCTGGCTGGACGGCTCTGTGGCAGTATCCTTACCTTACTTCTCCCCGTCCCCCATGGAGCATGCCCCTTCCCCTGTGGAGCACCCCTCACTCTCCCCTCCCCTCCAGCAGGGCTGGGTTGGGTTGGGTGAGGTGCTGGAGGGGAGGAGGGATGAGCTGGCTGTGTGCCAGGCGGGAGCTGAGCTGCGCACATGGAGGCTGCACCAGTAGGATTATCAGGTAAAGCGCCCTCCAAAACGGACACACTTGATAGAGTGACGGGAAGCAGAGCGGGAGGCTACGGGGCTGGCCTGGCCTGATGGAGGGGGGGCGGGAAACAGAGCTGGGGAGGTGGAGGGGTGCAGCAATGCTGGCCTGGGGAGATCAGAAAGAGGAACAGGCCGGTGGGAAGCAGAGCTGGGGTGGAGGCCGCGGGGGAGGGGACGGGGGACTGAACAGATGGAAGGGGGGCAGGAAGCAGAGCTGGGGGGCAGTGCAGCATGCAGGGGGGCTGGCCAGAGTAGGACTGACCCCAGCACTTGCAGATACCGGGGCACTGCCTGTCCCGCTCAGGCTCCCAGAGACGCAGGAGTGAGGAGGCGGCTTTCCCCCCTCCTCCCTCTCTTTGGGTGGAGATATTATTATGCAGGTTGTGATTACATATATATGTCCCTATGAGTGTATCTGGATCTTTAAGCGGTAATTTCGGGCGGGGGGAGGAGAGTGGAGAGGGGGAGAGGTTACAAAATAAAAGAAAAATGTACGTGTTTTATTTATATGATAGAATTTTTCAAAAATGAAGGGGAAAAGCCTAGAAGGAAGTTTGTATTAATATCAGAAGGAAAGTGATTATAACATCTGTGGCGTAGTGGGAGGGCTGTCTGCTCTGTGACCCGGGGTCCCCCTGCGCTATGATAGGAGATTCTCACTGACTCTCCCAAATGTGGATTAATCCAGACACCCAGCCTCAGCCTCACAGGGAGGGAGAAAAAGGAAGGAAGGCAGAGACCAGCACC